AGTGAGTGATCGATCTTCCCTTTGCACATCCCATCACAATTACAAGGAATTGTTGGACATGTTTCTTCTGAGAGAGCCTTGTTTTTGAAGAGATGTCTCCTAAGGTTGAACGTTTTATAAATTAGTGTATACGCCAACTGCTCTAAGGTACTAATTAAAAGGAAAACATTCACTAATTACTTTTTGATGGAAAGATTAATTACGTTGCAAATATCTTCATTAATTACTAAAACAAAGAGAGGGGGTGTCCGTGCGTATGTGTTCATGCGTGTGTGTAATATATATACACTACAGTTCAAAACTTTGACGATACCATTGTTAATTTTTAAATTGGCCTCAAAAGTAGTTCTTTTGCTTTTTAAATAAGAGAAAATTATTATATAAGGTTAATAATAAGTGACATGATTTTTATTCGAAATTTTATTATGACAAAAAAAAAATTTTATATGATTCAATAAACTCTCTCGTCAAAATATCCTCCTTTAGCCTTGATTACTGCAGCACACATTTTTGGCATTCGTTGCAAAAGCTTCTCAAAGTATAAATTTGATAATTGATTCCATTTTTTTTTCAATGACTCTAAGAGAATATTTTTCATTTTTTGATAACGTTTTCTTTTTTATCAAAATTCATTCCATGCTAATTTAAACATGGCTTTCAAAATTTTAAATTGGTCTATATATATTATTATAGATGAGAAAAATTTAGACCTAAATTTAAAAGTAAATAATTTTCTGAGGTCGCATCAAACACGTGATATAAAATTTGCGTTGAAAAGATGAAATAAATTAAATATTTTACTATATATCCATTTATTGTAGTTTAAGAACTAACTTTTTATTAAAACTAATGATTTTGAAAAAGCTTAATGTTTTATTAACTGTATCTTAATAATTTGAAAACAATATTCATAAATTTATCGTCTTTTAAAATACAAAAAGCGAATATGCATCTTTTTCAATTGTAAATATTTATAAGATGTTTAGCTGTTTCTCGTTTGATTGTTTATCAACATTTTGTATTTACGCAACGAGTATAGCCCCAAAACAATGATAAGTTATTATTTTTTTACTTTTTAAAAAAATGATTTTGATAAGACTAAAAAAAATTATATTTTCGTTATGCCGAAATAACCTTATTCCATATATGAGGTGATATCTTTTAAATTTTAAAGAAATCATAATTTCGATTTTGATTCTGTGAAGATTTTAAAATATTTTCATAATAAAAAAATCTTTAGGCGGTTTCTATAGCAGGCATAATATCTATCTCACGCACACACACACTAGACCTGGCTTCTTTAATATTTCCCTTTTATAGCAAGATTAATGCTCGACAAACGTACATATAAATTTTAGATCAAAATAAAATTCTTTTCGAATTCATTTCAAAATACTCAAATTTTAGGAATACGTTTTCACAACATCGCCCACGTGACGACGACGTGATCATATTTAAACGGAACGCTGATCTTATAAAAGATTTCTGTTATCTGTTTGGATTGGTATTGCTTTTATGTCCATCGTCTTTTTCATGTTGAATTGTATATGGTCTATGTTAATTATGTTTTATGAATATGTCCTGAAGATGGTCTATTAGACCGAAACGTCCGACGTTGACATTAAAAATTAAAACAGCATAATCGCATATTAGGATTTTTGTTTGTTTTTTCAGTATATTTTTCTTCATATATATATATATGGAAGAAAAATATAAGAACCTATTGATCTGTGAGTATTCCTATATCGACGGAAGGGATTTCTTGACGAACAGTTTATATGAGAAAATAGTTCAATCGAGTTTGTTTAATATTTTAATATTTTGAAATCATCTTCGAATACGTTTACACAAAATCGCCCACGTGACGACGACGTGATCATATTTTAAACGGAACGCTGATCTTATATAAAAAAATTCAGTTATCTGTTTGGATTAGTTGTGCTCTTATGTCCATCGTCTTTTTCATGTTGAATTTTATATGTTCTAATGTTAATTATGTTTTATAAATATGTCCTGATGATGGTCTAAAATAGACCGAAACGTCTGACGTTGACTTTATATTAACATTAATACAGCATATTTGCATACTAAGATTTTTGTTTGTTTTTTCTGTATATTTTTCTTCATACTGTCGGATCTATATCCATATATTTGCTTTTATATATATATATATATATATATATATATATATATATATTGTGTCTATGTCATGAAAGTTGTAAAAGTATATGTGAGTAATCAAGTGCAAGACAATGAATGTGTAGGAGAGAGAGTATGTGTGTATGTGCAAAAAACAAACAAACAAGCGTGCGCGTGCGCGCGCGAGAGAGAGAAACAGGAAGTGTAAATTTTCGAAATCTGTCTTTGTTTTTTTTTTTGTTTTTTTGTTTTTTTTTTAATGTGGCAACCTTTCGACAACGGATTTGTCTATATTGTGAAGCGATGCTGAAAAATACTCGTCTAAACCAAAAAGGGATCCCGAAGTAAATTCTAACGTTTGGTCATTTGAACAGATTTTGGCAATTGACGCCGGGACCGAGAACTTTTCAGCACCTCTCTCATACAGTCGCCCCGAAACGTGCCCCTCCCCCAACACACATACACCGCGGACCCCTTCATGCTATCAAATAAAAATATTTGAACCTGAAGACATTCTGAACGGATTAGATAATTAGGGTCAAAATTAACCCACAAAAAAAAAAAATTCAAAAACTAATTTTCTATTGGAAATGGAAAGAGTAAAACAAGAAAATAAAATAGCCAGAATCTCTCTCTCTTTCTATATACGACATACGTGGGCGATCATGGCTCTCCACAGCCTCCAGTCTTCTGTTCTAAGTATTAACAGTCCCTTTACAATATTTGTTTGTCTTTGTAGTTCTTGTTCCTCTAACCAATTACCCAAGCTTGTCAAGCAGGTTCCCTCTCTGGCAATGTGTTATGCCACTTCTGTACATGCGTGATCATGGCTCTCCACGACGTCCGGTCTTTCATTGCTCTAAGCTGTAACTGTTCTTTTACAATCCCTGTTACCTTTTGTTGTTCTTATTCGTCTGTCCATTTGCTTAAAATTGTCAAGAAAGTTCTCTCCGTGGCTATGTGCTATGTCGCTTTTGGATATGGACGATCATGGTTCTCCACAGCTTCCAGTTTTTTATTGCTCTAAGCCGTAACTGTGCCTTTACAATCCTTAATCTTTGCTGTTCTTGTTTCTCTATCCATGTGCTTAAACTAGTCCCCTCCTTCTCTTCGAATATATTATGTCACTTTGGGACAAATGTGTTCATAGCTCTCCACAGCTTCCGTTCTTTATTTCTATTAGTATTAACTGTTCTTTCAAATCCCAGTTAGTCTTTGCAGTTCTTGTTGATGTAATTTTTTTCTTCCTCTATCTTAATATGGTATGTCACTTCTGAACTTAGGTGATCAGGGCTCTCCACAGCTTTCAGGTTTTTGCTACTCTTAGTAATATTGGTATTTATGACGTCTACTCAGAAGGGGAAAGGATTAATCACTAAGTGGGAAAAACATTTCATGGTCATCTGCAAAAGGGGCAGGCCCAAACTGAGTGGCATAACGGGGACGTCATGGTCAGCCAGGAGCAGACTAGTATACTAACAGACGGCGGAAGATGTGACACAGACATTCGAAGTTACATCAGAGTAGAAAATGTTACTTTTTAGAAACTGAGCAAGTTATTAAGCGATCATGCCTTAAATGAATTAAAGAAAGGAGGGCAACTATTTTCATCGCTTGCTTATTTTGTCAAGTTACCATAACAACGGGTTATCTCATTGCTGCTGTGACAAACGGACTATGTGGTTAAATGTTTATTATCAAATATATGAATAAACTTTTCTTCTATCATTAACCGGAAATAATAGAATATAATTTGATACAAGGTATTTAGTCATAGCAAATCAAATAATGAGGAGAGGGTTCGGAGAATTTGACACACGCATGTTATTTTGAAGGACAGAGGGCAATAGAGTGTAATCTATCTAGTTTGTGTAAATGGGTGGCAGCATAGGAACCGGGAGAGATAGTAAGGGGACAAACACGATTTCACGAATTTAAACGCAGTACTAGATTGGAAGTTAGGTCTCATTATTCTGCTGTTGAAATTGCTTGATGTAACCATAACTTTTATGATAATTTTTCCTTCCCTCGCACTTCTCACTTGTGGAACACTCGTCCGGCTTTTTTCCTTTCCTGTCAACGACGATCTTGCAAAACTCAAACACAACGACAATTGTCACCTTCGGTCTTTTGCTAATCCTGTTCATTTACCAGGCTTTCAGTCTACAGTGATGTTTACTAATTTTCTTTTACTCTCACCCCCCTTTGCGTCTTAGTGGCTTTATTGCCTTGCTTGTGATTAAATGATTACAAAAATAAATAAATATTTTGTTGGCTTTAAAGTTAACCATTTTTTTGATTACATGGCATTAGTGTGTTTAATCTGATTTTAAGTTTTCGTTGTGACATCTTTTTTTTAAATTGTCAGGCTTGGTTTTAAATTGTTTATTGAATGTGACGTTGAAAACCGCAGGAAATAAGCATAATTTTCAGAATATAGACATTTTTTTTTTATTTCAAGAAGGTAAAATTGCGACTCAGTTGCTGAATAAATGTTGCAGTTTTCTGTAAGTAACTGAAAGTGTCAAAAACGGTTTGCGATGAATTGTGCAAGAGATTTATTGCTTATTGATAGATACATCACATTTGCATGGACTAGATGAGGTTGATGGCGTTTAAGATAAAAGGAAAGAGAAAAAGAAAGAAGATGAAAAAATTAGAAAGAAGAACAAAAAAGAAAGAGAGAAAAGAAGAAATTAAAGAATGAAGAAAGAAAAAGAAGGAAGAAGAAAGATAAGAAAGAAAAATTCAAAGAAAAAGTCGAAAATAGAAAGAAAGAAAGAACAATAAAGACAAAGATAAGAAAAAATAACGCAAAGTAAGAAAGAAAGAAAGAAAGAAAGAAAGAAAGAGAGTCAAACTTAGGAAAAAATAATGTAAAGAGAAAGAAAGAAAGAAAGAATGAAAGAAGAAATCAAAAGAAAAGAAGAATGTAAAGAAAAGGACAAAATAGAAAGAAAGAAAGAAAGAAAGAAAGAAAGAAAGAAAGAAAGAAAGAAAGAAAGGAAATGAAGAAACGGGATGGAAATTCTTAAAGAAAAGAAGAAAAAAGCCTTGCTAAAAAGAAAGGCGGGAATGCAAAAATGAAGGAAGGTAGAAAGGAATGGAGAGGGAAAGAAAAGAAAGGGGAAAGAAAAAATCAAAAAGAAAAGAATGTAAACAAAAAGACACAAAAGAAAGAAAGAAAGAAAGAAAGAAAGAAAGAAGTGGTATAGACATTCTTAAAAGAAGAAAGTGAATTTTCATGAAGGAAAATTTAGAAAGAAAGAAAGAAAGAAAGAAAGAAAGAAAAATAAAGGCAAAGATAAGAAAAAATAATGCAAAGTAAGAAAGAAAAAAGAAAGAAAGAAAGAAAGAGAGTCAAACTTAGGAAAAAATAATGTAAAGAGAAAGAAAGAAAGAAAGAAAGAAAGAAAAGGGGAAAGAAAAAATCAAAAGGAAAGAATGTAAAGAAAAAGACAAAGTAGAAAGAAAGAAAGAAAGAAAGAAGGAAAGAAAGAAAAAAGAAAAGATAACAAAAGAATAGAAAAAACAGGAAAGAAAAATGCAAAGAAAGAAAGGAAAAAAGAATGATTCGTCTATATATCTGAAATGAGGTATAGTAACGATTTACGCTATTTACATTATTCCGAATGTTGTCCTTATCTTTATTGTCATATTCCCGACGTTTCGACCCTTGTACACTCCGGCCTTCTTCAGGAACTCTCTATATTTCTGAGATAAGGTATTCTAACGATTTATGCTATTTACATTATTGCGACTGTTGTCCTTATCTTTATTGTCATATTCTCGACGTTTCGACACTTGTACACTCCGGCCTTCTTCAGGAACTGTCTATATTTCTGAGATGAGGTATTCTAACGATTTACGCTATTTACATTATTCCGACTGTTGTCCTTATCTTTATTGTCATATTTACGACATTTCGGCCGTTTTACGCTCCGGCCCTCTTTAGGATTTCGAACCGAACGCTTTATTTCGTCCACAGGGATATATTGTTCTAGTTCCACGTACCGTGTCTCTTCTGAATATCTTAATTTCAGCTAATTCCCTTTTAGTAAATCAACTCTCCATGTTTTTGAACTCACAACTCATGTTACTGAATTACTTCAACCAAGGCTTTTAGCCACCGGGTCTTGTGTCCTTGGGGACCTCTGTGTATGTGTTATTAGTACTTATAAACCAAATATCTTAGTAAAACGATTTTTTTTACAGAACTCATATTACAATTTATTTTAATCATTGTTTTTCTCTAGCTCTCTGTATTACTGGCTTTCATACAGTATTTACCTTTTTTGACAAGTGTTTGGCAAGCGGTAATGCGATTTTACTGTCAAATGAAACTCTGTAGATGTGTAGAGAGAAATAGTTAAATTGTGAGCGTAGTAATCGACTCAGTATGGGGTTGGATCACCAGCGGGGTAGTACCATCCTAAAAGGATTCATTTATCCCGAGGAGGTCTGCGAGTTGGAATAAATAAGAACTAATGTCTAGGTATAAACCGGCCCAGTATTGAACTATAAACATGAATATAAATCCGACCGCTTTTTACCTCAGGACTCTAGTGTAAACGTGTAGAATGCATATCTATAAACTTAATTTTAAACGCAACAAATGTTTACCTATAGACTAATGGTGGCAGCACCTGTTAGGGTCCCAGCTATGGGCAAATAGTGAACCCCCAAACAAGGGCAAAATACTGTGCAGATATAAAAATACATTTTTATAGTAAAAATACCAGTAATACATTTGTATATAAAAAGAAAATGCCACCCATGGTGTGGGAAAAATTAACGGTCCAGGTTGTAGGTGTAAGGTACTTACCTGGTTTGTTGTTCTAGTCGACTAAATGTGGTTACCTTCTTTTTACCAATTTTTTTATTGTTACAAGGTCTCGTGACTAATTATCACGTGATCGATGAAGTGTTTTTTTTTTTACCCCTTTGTTATACGATGCAAGGAAGTAGAAGCTATGTCACGCAAGTAGATATTTTTTCGCAACTTAAGGTAAGTAACTTGGTTGATTTTCTCGGCCTGCACTGTGACGAATTTTTTTTTTTTTACCTATTTATAGTAAAATTACTACCACTACTTTTCCAGAGACGGATATGCAATGTAATTAGCCCTGATCTGGCATCTCGTCTACAGTCGCTCTCTCACAGACGTGCCGTAGCCTCCCTCTGTCTTTCCTCCAAATACTTTCACGGCAACTGCTCCACTGAGCTACTTTCGCAGGTTCCCAAACTGCATTAATTTAAACGTGCCACTAGGTCGGCATCTCAGTCCCACCCTTTCACTGTCGAAATGGTTAAATGTAACTGTCTCTTCTACTCTAATAACTTCATGTCTAGCACTTCCCGTCTGTGGATTTCCCTTCCTGTTACTTGTTTCACTGTTAGCTATAATATTCAAATGTAATATCAATCGACATCTCCAGATGCCTTGATCTATTCCCCGCTCTTCTCTTCATCCTTTTCTCTATCACGCTTCTTTACCCTCGTTCACACACTCTGTAACCCCTTGCGTGCTAGTGAGACTCCTGCCTTGTTTGGGGTGAAAATCTTTTAAAAAAATCCCAATTTATAGTAATTTTATCAATAATACTAATTTATAGTACAATAACCAACAATACATTTTATAGTAAAATTACCAGCAATACATATTCATAGTCGAATCACCAAATATATTTTACCTGTAGTTGAAGCCCTAATATTGTGTTCTAAATATTTAGATTTCGGCATTAAATAACCCATAATGGTTGATATGCCGCTAAAAAAAATCAACCATTTTGGGTTTGTACTTTACTATATAGAGTAAAGTACAAACCCAAGCAATGTTTACATATAGACTCAAGTATAAATCCAAACAATTTTTACGTGTAAACTGAAGTATAAACCCAACTAATGATTATCTATAGACTCAAGTAAAAAGCCAACCAATGTTTACCTATAGACTTAAGTATAAACCCAATTAATGATTATCTATAGACTCAAGTATAAACACAACCAATGTTCACTTATAGAAACAATCACAGACCCAACCACCCTACACGCAAGCCACCAATCTGCCACTGGGTGGCACACAACTAGCGCTCGGACCGCTGTCGGACCGCCGGCGTGTTCGTCTCGGCAATGTTACCACTTGCGCAACGCTAGAGGCCCGCCGGTTGCCAGCTTATTGCGGCTTGCGTGTAGGGCAATGTTAACCGATAGACTCAAGTATAAATCGAAACAATTTTTCCAGGAAAAGTCGAGTATAAACCTTAGGAATGTTTCCTCTAGACTCAAATACGAAATCAACCAATGTTTACCTCAGGACTCTGGTATAAACATCTCCGATGCATACGTATAGACTTAAGTACAAACTTGATGTAATGGAATAACCTGTCACCCTCATGAGTAACTACACTATAGGTAGTAACTACACTATAAGTATCTGTAAGTCAACGGACTACAGAGCCCAGCTGCGACCTGTTCCAGCTGAACAGTCGAACTCTCTGCCTTCGGGCAGAGAGCAACCCAGACGAGGCTCCACAGAAGTCAGAGTCTCGTTCGGGGAGGTGGACTGCCACTGAACCCGTTTATACGGGTTCGAAAGGGAATATTTATGGCCGAGCCTACGGGCTCAGAGAACCAAAGTTAAACCCGGCTTTGTGCCACATGAAACCCTCGTAGGTGGTGATGGTGGGTGGTGATGGTGGGTGGTGATGGGTGGTGATGGTGGGAGGAACCCGGACGAGGCTCTGCCGAAGGGTTGTCTCGTCCGGAGAAGTGGACAAACTCGATCCCGTTTATGCGGGTTCTACGGAGATTTTTTGTCCGAGCCCACGGGTTCGGGAACCCTACATCAAACACGGCCTTGTGCCACATGTAACTGCGTGGGGCAGATGCTAGATACCGTCTAGCTGCAAACTGTTACTCCGATCTTAGCTGTTGTCAAACTCTGTGCCTTCGGGCAGAGAAGAACCCGGACGAGACTCTGCCCTTCGGAATAGCTTCGTCCGGGGAGGTAGACAGACCCGAGCCCGTTTATGCGGTGTTAAGGGGAATTTTTGGCCGAGCCTACGGGCTCGGATTGCCCCACATTCAATTCGGCCTTGTGCCAAATCCTACCTCGTGGGGAGGCTGATAAATATTTTCTAGCTGGGATCTGTTAAGTACAACTCAGACTTACGCGAGAACTACCGACTTTCCAATAGTAACACTCACTACTGGATTGACTTGCGACGATCGTGCGCATAACTGTTACATTTTTTCTTATTCTACTGGTTTTACAATAAACCGTTACTTATTTTATCTACGTGTCTTTCAAGTATATATTCCTATTAGCACGGAATATAACAAAACCCAAACGATATTTCTTATAGACTGAAGCGTAGATGAAAAATGTTTTCATGTGAACTCAATTATAAAACCAACCAATTTTTACTCATAGGCGCAAGTATAATCATAAAATATTTCCCGCTTAAATACCCATAAATGTGTTGATATGTCGTAAAATCCAGCAAAATATTTGAATGCTTATTTTTATTTTATTCAGAGGATTAAGCAAAAGAAAAAATGCGGAAGAAATTCTAACTATAAATATTTCAAAGAATAAATAATCCAGTTTAAAATATCGATGAAAAAAAAAGTCTTAAACTTCGAATTTCTTAAATGAAGCACTGTTATTATCGATTTTTGATAATTTGTTCACGTTTTATTTTATTTCATTTCTGTAGTTGTTGAAATGTAAAAAAATAAAAATAAAAAAAAAGCTTACAAAAATGACTAGTTAAAAACACATTTTTTTTACAAAGTGGTTGTGGAGTTTTCTCGCTCGAATTTGGAAATATAAAAAAAAAATTCAACTTCCGTCAACAAAAAAAAAAAAAATAAATAAATAAATAAAAAAAACGGTAAAAATTCAAATAAAAATAACGAGGTTTCTTTTCGAAGAAATATTTTTTTTTAAGCAAAGTTTGTCTCAGTGGAAAATTAACGAGGTTTTTTTTTTTCTTAAATATTTGTTTTTAATCTGGGTGCATTAATTTCTCGGTCAATGACTCGGGAAAATGTGTGCGAAATGCGCCCAGTAAAGAATTAGATCGCATTCAGAGAGAGAGAGAGAGAGAGAGAGAGAGTTACTATGGCGATCATCATCACATACACATACACCCTCACAAATTCAAATCTTCAACAGCATTCATTGATTGGACAGGAAGCAACGCTGCTATCTTATGCGACAATTTTAAAATCGCTATATTTTCATATAGTAGATTTTGTGCATTTTTGGGAGAATCGGCTCCCAGAGGTCTCCCCCAAAGCTCATGCACTGATTAGTCAATATCGACCAATCAGATTCTCTGCATATGGAGAATGATTCTTCCTGCGCAGCGCTCCTGATCCAATGACCACCTATAAAATCAAAAAAAAAAAAAAAGAGGAGACACAGCAGTGAGACTTGAGCTGCCACAAAAATCCACGGCAGTTGAAGCTATGTGCCCATCTTCTCACTCAACTCACAAACTGCATATTCTTTCACACTTACATAAAATTCCTCTTGAACTGTTTAAAAACATTTATAGCAGACTAATAACTCTTTCT